TCCGCCTCCCCGCACCTTCCCCCCCATCCCCCGGCACCTCCGAGGGGGGGTGTTGGGACACATCGCCTTGGTACAGACACCCTGGGCAGCATCACATCGGGCATTCCCCCTCTGGGGGGGTTGGGACCCCCTGCATTGGGCACAGCCCCTCCAGAAGGGTTTGGGGAGCATCGTGTCATGTCATATCATATCACATCACATCGTATCACATCGCATCAATCACATCACACAGCGCCAGCCCAACATGCAGAACCCCCCTTTCCCAGCTGCAGCCTCTCCTGGCCCAGGTTGGGCTCTGGCAGTGGGGTGGGGGCACACAATGTGCTGTCCTCACTGCCCCAGTGTCCCCTCCTTGGGGGTACCACGCTCCTGCTGGACAGCAACAGGACACAGAGGGGCTGCCCTGATCCCCCCCATATGCCACAGGCATGTTGGGCCACACGCCATGCTCCGGTGGCCTCATCTTGCTCAGAGCTGATGCCCCAAGAGCATCCCTCCAGCCCGTGCTTTCTAACCTCCTCACAAGAGCTGGAAGGAGGGAGAATAAAAGCAAATCTGTCTGGCTCCAGCCCCCACTTCACTCTTTCAGAAACCGGAGCAGCATATGGGAGTATTTGCCCCTTTCCCTAGAGATGGAGACGAGCAGATGACAGGCTGTGAGCATGTGTTAGTCCCACCAACGCACGCTCCAGCCAGCTTCCCATTAAGGGCGGCAGTTGCTCCAGCCCCAAATGTTAGCAGTTTTCAATTAGCAAATGGCAGAGGAGAGGGATTCCTGGGGGACACGCTAAGCAAGTCAAGCTCTATCACTTGTCACTCAAGGAGCTCACGTTACCCTTCTCCCCGAGAGGCTCTGCTTAAAATAAACCTCTACAACAGCCCGAGGGGGAAGGCAGGCTGCCTGCCCGCTGCCTGAGCTGCCAAGAAGGGGATGGGTGGCTCAGTTTTGGGGTTACCTTGACCTGAGCTGCAACAGGGCTGTAGCTCCTGACACCCAAATAGCAGGGAAGCTTGTACCAACATATATCGAGTGTAAACAGCCACCGGAGGGTCCTTTCTGAGGGATGAAAGGAGCTGGCAGCCTGCTCCGATGGTGGAGGGCACTGAGCTGAACTTTAACCAGCTCTCGGAGAGCCTGGAAACCCAACGTGTAGGAACTAGCGACAGTGGGCAACTGAACAGGGAGCACAGGGGTGCACCATGCACCTTGGAGCTGTCTTAGGGGTGGCAGCCTGGGGTTGGGTTCACTCAGAGCCGTGACCCCCCCAGGGCAGGATGTACAAACAGCCCTGTGGTCTGTCTGGTTCTGCCACTAAGTCACAGCACACCCTGGAGCTGGGCTCGCCTCCCAACAACCCTCAACCGGGCCCTGTCTGAAAACCATCCCTGGACACCCCTATGGGATAAGGCTCAGACCAAAAGGATGGGCCTTGGCACCCCATGGGGCGAGGGGCCCCCCTGTGCCTCCCCACAGCACGTGTAGGTCACTCGGAATCATCTTAGAATGGTTTGGGTTGGAAAAGCTCATCCATTTCCAACCCCCTGCCACGGGCAGGGACACCTTCCACTGGAGCAGGGTGCTCCAAGCCCCATCCTGCATCGCTCCTGCAAGCTCAGAAAGCCTTTATCTCCTATGACAGGCAGGGACCAGCGCTGAGTTTTATCACTATTTACCACTTCTCTTTGATGTTTTAAACCTTTCTCGTTCCTAACCTCGCTGAAGAGCATCTCTGCTAATTAGCCAGGAGCTGACAAAGCCATCAGAAGGTGCTAGCTGTGCCGGCAGGACGGCTGGGAGGTGTCAGACCCTGCAAACAAAGATCCTTCCCTTTTCCCCCTCTCCCTAAGGGAAGCCCTCCCCGCTCTCAACATCACAGCCGGGCGTTTGTCTCGCACAAAGGCGACACTCGGAGCAGGGCAATTCCCTTTGTGAAGGCGATATGTTCGCTGTCCCCCCTGTGATGGGTCAGTCCTTGAACCCATCTGGGCTTTGGGAAGCCTCCTGGTGCCTTCCCCCTGCCTCTCCCTGCCCTGCACCCCTGCTCCATCCCTCCGCCTTGTATTTGACTTAAACTGGACGGACAGAAAACAAACCTCAGCTTCTAAAGAAGTTAAGGTGGAGCGTTTTGCCCTGAGGGAAAGGAGCAGGGAGAGTCCTCTTCCTGCTTTGTGCCCAGGGAAGGCGGGGGTAAGGGGAGTGAGGTGGCTGGACACAGACACAGGCTCAGGGGAACGGGGATATGACCACGACAGAGGGGCCCGGATCAAATCAAATCAGCTC